TCTGCAGGGGCGCTAGAGTCATCGCACCACTCTCTCCCTCTCTGCTCTGCTGACGCTAATCTGAATTGCTTCATAGCCCACTCTGACTCAGCAGCAGAAGTTCGGAGACTACCAGCAGTCCCTCGGGCCGTTTCCCCAGAACGCCTTATGCCTTGGGCGCAGCAGTTTGAGGACTGGTACGGCGATGTCCAAGGTACGTTGCAGGCTTGCTCCTGCTCTTCTTCGACCCAGCCACCTGCTTCAAGGCCTGAGCCCAAGACCGAAGTTAGAGTCTTGGTGCAGCTTCGATGCTTCGATGAGATGTTTTCCGGCTGGTATGGCAGGTCTTGACTGTCCTCAACGACAGTCCGAAGTACCTGCCTGGATACTGGCGTGGAGAGGCTAAGTTATGCCGACAAGGGCTGCTATGCAGAACATGGCGAACACACTACGCGCATGAGCCGCCAGAGGCAACTGCCTGCACGGTTGATGGGTATGTGTGCGAGAGTTTGCTGAAGCAGCCCGTCAGACAACGCTTGAAGGACTCAGTCAGCATGTTGTTTGCGGCTCACCGCCCCTTCTTCAATGACTACCGGGTTGTCCCCTGTTGACAGGAGCTTGGATTGCTCCCAGAGACCTTCGTGCAGAAGTGGTTTGCCGGGTATGGATCCAAGACATTTGGGTTGGCAAAGGAAAAGCAGCCACTGTGTTGAGTAGTGTGGGATCGTGCTTTTTCAGGATCCTAAGAGGATCCTGTGCTGCAGGCTCTGCATCCACCATCTCCCCTACGGCATCCTTTTCGACTTTTTGGTACCTGCGGCATGGCTTCTCCCACTCCTTGGCCAACTGCAAGTTCCTGTCACGGAGAGACTGGCTTCAGTGTTGAATGTCAGGACAACTTCTTCGAATCAGGCAACACCTATTTGACACGAGCCCAGATGTCCACCTGCGGCGTGGCAGGCTGGAGTGCCATTGGAGATAAGCGTGTGAATCGACTCGAGGTTTCAGTTCTTTCTGGCCTTCTTTGATGAGTTTGAGGCCTCGTGTCGGGTTGTTTTGTTCACTTTCGCGATTTGCTGATACTACTGTACTGTAGTTACTCTTGTGACAGGCCGAGATCCTGAATGCCGCTAACAATCGCGAAGTCCGGCTCCAAGTTTGACGAGTTCAGGCTGGCAAACGAGGAAGTTTCTGGCAAGACAGGCAAAGATGCTGATACGCTTCGAATCAGCCCGGCAAGAGCGCCTGGCCAACGTTGTTCAGGCTTGGCTGCACTACCGGTTACAGCTTGTAGTTTTCTTGCTCATGCAGTCAGTAGCAGTGTGGTTGGTGCAGTGGTGTTGGTGGTGTGGCTGTGGCATGTCGTGGTGTGGCAGTGCTGCTGGTGTTGATGCTGCTGATCGTCTTGCTGCTGCATGCTGCTGCCCTGTGTTGTCCTTGCCACAGCTGCTCTCATTGGTGCCGTGCAGGCAGCGACTGAGGAAAGGTATGCCGGGAGAGTAAAATCGTCAGCTCTTCAGACGTGACGTGTTCATTGCTGTGTCGTGCAAGGTCAGACCTGTCTGTTTGTGATCTTGCAAGGCTGGATGTTCATCGGTGCCGCATTACAGCATTCCAGGACTAATTCGACACGCGCCGCTGACGCCGATGACAGCCGATGCGCAGAGTGCCGGGCCAGGACACACTGTCAAGAAGGCTCCAAAGTGCGAATGAAGGTATGTGGCCAGCCTGGCGAAGTTTTGGGCCCCTCGCAACCTCTCACCTTTTCGACAGACGACAGGCGTAACATATGCTGCAAGGCAAAAAACGGACGATGACATTACTACCTTCTCGGATGAGGAGGATGGATGATATGTCGCTGACAACGAAAATTGAATGGGCTCTTGTGTGATATTGTGTTCACGTCTGTTGGCCGGCTTTACAAGCTCACACATGCTGGACCGATCCATTGTCCCCTGCCTTCCAGCAAGAGCAAAGGTAGAGCAGGAGCGCGTTTCTGCATTAGGACACGTCGCAGATTTTTGTGATCGTTTTTGGACTGAAAGACCACGTGCTCGACAATTGCAAGAATTGCATGGCTTCCAAGCTCAGGGCCGTCGAGTCGGGTCAGTCCAGTGCTGTAGGAGCGCACTACCTTCGTACAGCAGTATTTTAGCAGCTTTAGCCTGGAGAAAGCCAGTCTGAACATTCCCTTGCCAATGTCAGGCTGAGCGCCTTGTCGTCTTGAGGCCTGTAACCGTCACCAAAGCTCTTGCACTTTTGGAATCACTACTTTGAAAGGATGCTGCCACGGCCGGCCATGCTTGCGCTGATGGAAGAGCTAATGGAATCCAACATAGGCGCCAGCTTGAAGCAGATAGGGAGCTGTGTGCATCTGCTTGCGAATGTAATGCGCTCGCTGAGCAAGCCTCAGCGCCAGAAGTTGGTGACTCTCCTGGTGAAACTGCTGCGGGACAGTCACGTTTCCAACAAGTTGGTGGCGGTTCGGGGACTGAAGATGCTATGGCTGCTTGATGATGCGCTCTGGCAAACCTATGCAGAAGCTGAGCAACAGCTGCGGACTTTCGCCCATTCCGCCAAAGAAGATGTGCGCAAGGCACTGGCGGATCTCTTGCACAGCAGCTGAAGTCTGCTTCCGAGAGCCGACGGTCGTCAAAAGCGACGCAGCGTGCTCCTGCGGCCTGCATTCGGCGTAATCATTACCATCAGCAGCATCTGTATCTTTGTCATTCTCATCACAGTGATTGGCATCATGATGGTCGTCGGTGTCTTCGTCGTCGTCACGGCGGCCCCTCGTTGTCGACATCGTGGTCGTGGTCATGATCGTCATGGCCGTCACCATCATCATCATCATCATCGAAGTCATCGTCGTGGTCGTGCCATCCCCCTATCTAATGCACCCACTTGCCGAGGCTTTATCAGCTGCCCAAAACCCTAAACACGTAACCTCTGCTGTTCAAGCGATCGCGTCAGCTCATGCTCGCCGCTAGCCCATGTGTCACAGTACCCTTTTCGCTACCAAACGACTCATGCCACAGCCTCAGCAATTACAGTCTTTACATAGGAGCAGAGGCATTCTCATCGTTAAGCACGTCCTTCCTCCTGCCGTATATATGAGGGCAGTAGGGCATAGTCATCATAGGGTCCGTGAGGAGTCCGAATCTTTCCGAGGGCCGCTCACAAAATCCTGTCGAGCCCACTGTTGTGTGCATCAGGATGGTTGGTGTTGCAGTCGTTGCACTTGTGCATGCGTGTGGCCAACGCCTTGGATCAGGGACTTCGAGACGTTGTTTCCGGCATTATATCCTCGCAAAAACCGCACGCCCTTAGGGGTGCTTCCGAAGCCTTCCTCGTAGATTCGAGACAAATTGCGTTCGGCTTAGAGTCGCATATGCTCGGTGCCACCAGCGATAAAGATGTGCGTGCGACCCCGTTCTGGCCGTGGCAGGTCGAAGCCTCAGCATCATCATGACATGAAAGCATGTGTTTTTTTTCGTATCAGTGTCTCAATTTAGGGTTTAGGGTTTAGGGTTGTGAAGGTGCAGTGCAGAGCGTCGTCGTGTCGATTTATGTAGCAGTATTAGGTGATGAGGCAGTGTGGAGTTTTGTCATCTCAGTTTTGCAGCAAGGTGGCCGGATGATAGTGTCCGAGCTCAGGTTTTGCCGGAGACATGAAGGCGGCACGCATGGTTGACTTGTCATTGCGCGATCCTCGAGCTGTCCGGATTGAATATGCGACGCACGCCGCTGTTTGTGATAGCAGCGTTTCGTTTAGAAAGCAAGGTTTCTGCAAGGATCAGTTTTGGGATCCGAAAGAGAGACTTTGCCCTATCAAAGCCACGTTCATCAGATGTTTACTTGAAGCAACTTGCCATGCTGGGAGATGCATACAAAGCATGTTTGACCAGCCATGCCCATCCCATTTGCCGAGTCCGATGTGAAGCAACGTTGGCCAGACGTGAACTTGGTGGTTGCAGATGCATACGATGTTCGTGCGCAGCATGTGAAAGGTTTGACAACCAACTTGTGGCATTCTCGGGAAGATGGCGACTTCGTGTTTACAGTTGCCGGAGGGACAATTCGTGCACACAGCTGCATTCTGTCTGCTGCATCACCAGTGTTCAAAGCCATGCTGGCAAGTGGAATGACAGAAGGGCTTTCTTCATCCGTCCTGCTTGATGCCGAACCGTCTGAACTGTTAGCGATGCTCCGCTTCATTTATACCGGCGAGTTGGACGCGACAGCACAGCAGCTGCCTGGAGTGTTGGCATTGGCTCACCGTTATGAAGTACTGAACATGATTCCGCCACTTTGTGAGGCCATGATTGACAGCCTGAATATTGACACAGCAGCTCCTTACATACGGGTGCTACGATTGCTTGAAGGGTGCCCAGGCGTCTTTCAGAGACAGCCTTCAGAAAGCCGGAAGTGCAAGGCCCTCGAAAGCTACGATTCGCCTGGCCACGGGCTGCGAACCGAAATGCAAGCTTGGATGGCCTTGCCGGCGACGGGAAGCTTGCCAAGCATTCCGCCAGCCGTCCGCATCACCGGGCCGGTGCTGTCCCAGTCCCCTGGGCTCGAGGAGGCGCGACGCGGGGCGAAGCCTGCAGTCGCAGAGTGATTTGTGAATAGGACCTTCCTTAAACGCAGCATGCAGCCTGCAGGCATCGTCAGTCAAAGATGGTGCTTTGAGCAATGGCGGCCCAACGTCACCATCAGGCCTCGAAGCCGATGAGTTCGTGCCTGATGCGATGTAGGCTCCCGTTCTCTGCCAGTGCAAGGTGATGATTGTCGAGTGGAAGCCGCATCTCCGATCCTTTGCGCCCCATTCCTCTGTCTTGTGCATCACTGTGCTTTGTGCGAAGGGCCTTTGGAGCACCGCACACTGCCAACATCCGAGGATCTCACAAGCTTTCCTTGCCGTAGCGCAGCGGAGGCTTGGCAGAAGAGTACCCGGTTGATGCGACATATGATGATACGTGTTCCATGAGGAAGACCGTGTATGTTTGATCAAAGACTTGAGGCGAGGTGAGGTGCCCTTCCTTGTTCCAAGGATTGCAGAAAGCCCTGAGCTTCTTATGGCAACTCTGAGGGCTTTGTGAGTCGCGAACAGGCAACAAAGATTGCCTTCCACTGAGCGCTTCCGACCTTCAGGTAGCAGTGGAGGTCGCAAAAGCGATGGTCCACTCTATTTTACGTGGCAGGCAGCAACGCTGCGACTTGAGTTGGACTGATCGTTGGAACGTTCCTCTCGTGAACTACCGGGGAGGAATTCCAACCGCAACAGAAAAAGAGGGAAGACACGCGCTGTGTTGTTGGACTGTTGTCGATGGCCTTAAATGTCTGGAGTTTGTGCGGAAGGTCCCAGCTCCGACCACGGAGCAGCTGGTGGACGATGTCCTGCGAAAAGCACGAGCTTCGCGAGGCCTTGCCGTTGCCATCTTTGGTTGTTGTTCCCCGGTCGGTGCTGGAACACGCAGCAGGCGCTCCAGTTCGAGAGCAAGACCAAGCAAGCAGGCATGGCACTAAGAGCTCGTTGCCTGAATTTTTCCCACCTTTGTGTTTCTCTTGTACTCCTCTGACACAGCCGCGGGGTGCCTCGGGATCCTTAAGCCTTCCGTGTGAACTTGAGGCCTCAGCCGGCACGAGGCTCGAACAGCACGACACGTATGTGGCTCAGAGGCTGAGGGCGATGAATTCGGGTGTGCGGAGACACACGAATGCGAGGTCTGACAGACGGACGTGTCACTGAGCTGGTCTCCAGGGTGTTGATCTCTCAGTCTCTGCACTTCTCTGTGCAGTGTCCGAAGGATGAAGCTCGTCTCAGGCTGGACAGTGCTGCTCGTTTTGTGCGTGGCACGGGTGCCTGACTGAGTGAAAGGAAGACCGGTAACAAGCGAGAAGAACATCCCCAGCCCCGCTCAGGTCTTCTGAGGGGTCGCCGGAAGTCTCGCGACTCGGAGCCTCCACAGGAGCCAGGCCGAACTCAAGCGCCTCCTCCTGGCCCTGGTGCTGGCACTGGCGGAGCAAGGCGTCAGGGACCGTCCGCGAAAAACTGGAGCCGAGAGGCTTTGGGGCCCTGACTCGTGTGAGGAGCGATGCTCCGGATCTGCACCCTCCGGACGGAGGAAGGAACGCCGAAGACATCTTCTGGAGCGGCGAGAAGGCTCTGCCGGAGCTGTTTCTGAACCCGAGCCAGAACGTACGTTCCGAGCGAAAGTCCGCTTCGAAGCCTGTTTTCCTTGCTGTGCGTGGTTGGCTGCTGAAGGGAGTACGGAAGCCTCCACAAATCTCCACAAGTGCAGCTGTTGGAGTGGGGAGGGGGCAGGGGATGGGTTTTGCGGCCGCAGGTGCCAAACACACGGGACCATAACGAACCGGATGAGCCCTCGCTGCTATCTTCGCCACTTCGACGGCACTGACATGGTCAGTGAAGCCGTCAGACCTAGAGGAGACAGATGCTGTGACGAATATCAGCTGCAGGCCATGGGAGCTTTCTGCCACAGGCCTCTTCTGCGCGCTGTGTCCGTTGTGCTGCAGAGCACAGTGCACTTCCAGGCGCCCGATCTGAAGGATCCGGCATTGGTGGCCTGTCCCCGGTTCCTTGGCAGGGAGAGCCGTCGCGTGACCAGGACTTTCACTTGCAATTGATGGAGCTCGCTTAGCCTGTGCCGTTGAAGACTTCTGCAGAGACCCGCAGTAGATGTTGTGATATGTTACAAAGCCATTACGGCTTCCAGGTTGGAGAATGAATAGAGCAACTCAGCAATCGCAGGCCATGAGATGTTCTGTAACTGTCGTCGTTCACAGACAGCTAACGAGTGAGGAAGCGCATTCCAGAACATTCCAGATAAGATTCTCAGGAGATTCTGAAGGCAACAGGCCCCTGAATGGCCGCAAATTTCTTTGGAGAATGTCGGTCCGAGTGAGCCGAGCTCGATTCAATATCCCGACGAAGACTCAATGCGAGACTCGGGAGCCTCCTTTCAAGGAGCGAGCTACAGAAGTGGCTTCGTCCAGCCAGCCTCCACGGCCTGCGGAGAATCCTCAAGCGGGAGAGCCTGCAGCAAAAGTCAGGAAGTTGGCGGAGGTTGTGAAACCGGTGTCTATAGCAACGCCACTCCGAAACTCGATTCTGCCAGATGGGGGCGACTGGAGCGGGGTCACGGTCGTGTTTGCAAGCGACCTGGGCAGTGTGGCTCAAGCAGCTGTGGAGAAGCAAATCTTGGAAGCTGGTGGCAAAGTGGGTGCTGCAATCTCGCAGCGAACATCCTTGGTCGTTCTGGGAGGCAACCTGGCAGATGGACGGCCTCCGATGGAGTCTGCCAAGTATCAGCGCTTTCTGGACTTGCAGTCCAAGGGAAAGGTGCAGGCCAAGGTGCTGTCCGAGGCGGCCTTTCTTAGCCTACTGCCCACTCAGCCTCCGCCCACTCCCGCCACCCCGGCCCTTCCACAGACTTCCAGGCCACCAGGGGAGAAGCCGGAGCTTCCTCAGAGCGCCAAGCAGCTCGAGGGTTCCAAGCGCTCTCCGTCGCGGAACTGGGTCGATATCTTCTCTCCGAAGAAGCTGGAAGATCTCCTTGGGAACCAGGCTCCCATTCGGAAGCTGGCAGATTGGCTGCAAGACTGGGAGGATGTAGTGCTGCGTGGGAAGAGCAAGAAGCCGGCCTTTCGACACGGGAGCGTACCTGACAACTTGAACGTGCTGGCGCCCAGTTGAAATCCCTCGCCTCCGAGCCCTTGTGGCCCCTGTGAAAGCCTGTTTTGGAGAGCCATGACAGCCTCGTAAGGCCAGAGCTGCATTGGCTCGGGACTCAGTGCGCGAAGTTTCTGAGGTGTCTGATGAGCCCTTGCATCGCCAGGTGAGCGGGCCACCAGGGATCGGGAAGACAACAACTTGCCGACTTGTAGCCCAATTACAGGGGCGATATGAGGCCCAATGAGCGCACACGCACACCATGTGCATGCCGCTTCCCGCGCCTTCATTCCTTCCTTTCGTGGCAGGTCTTGGAGTTCAACGCTTCGGACTCAAGAGGTCAAAAGGTGATCCAGGCCACGTCCCTGGGAAACAGATGCCACGAGTCGGTGACTGGAGCCCAGAAGCCCCGGAGGAAATGGCAGCAGGCATAGCCGAGAACACAACCATCTCTTTCGCAGGCTCAAGCTGCCTTGTCAAAGAGTCCAAAGGGCCTTGGCTTTTGCTTGCATTTCTCTTGGCCAGGTGGTCGGCAAGGGCAAAGGCACCAAGAGACTGTTGGCTGGTTCCGATGCAGCATGTGGCTGCGCAGGAAAGTAGTCATCATCATGGACGAGGTTGACGGAATGGGTCTTGCGCTCAGGCGGATCTCTGCACCGACCATGGGCTGCTAAATGGATTGTCGAGGTGGCGGGGACAAGGGCGGCATCGCTGCCCTCATCAAGATGATCAAGAGGACTCAAGTCTGCGCATGTTCACGAGCTCTGCAGTGTAGACTCAGTGTAGGGTGTAGGCCGCTTCTGCAGACTCAGCCGGTTTGCACAGTATTGCACAGTGGCATAAGACAGATGTTGGCGAGCCTTGGAAGATGAATGCAGGACCCGCAATCCCATCATCTGCATTTGCAATGACCAGCATTCTCAGCAGGCGTTTGGCGTCCCGCTCCGTTTTCTTGGCACTCTTTCTGTGGGCATCCTTCTGGAGGTGAGATCTTTGGCGTCCAGCTGCTACGACCTAAAGTTTACCAGGAGCTGGGGGCGGGGCAACCCTCTGGGATCTGGCGCTTGAATGCGGGGGATCTGGGTGCTGTACATGTGCAAGGCCTCCGAAGAATGCGATAGCGCAACGGTGTGCGCAGATCGCGAGGCGGATTTGTCTGGAAAGAAATGGGCTTTTCAGCGCCCGGGCTGAGAGGGTCCATGTCCATGCTGCCCCTCGCCTCACAGGCAGCAGGGCCTTCAGGTCGATGTACCTGCGGTGGAGGCGCGGCTTTGGCGACGGAGGTCTCCTGGTCTCTTGGCCAATTTTTCCTGGCGCAACGGAAGGCCATAGTGGAATCCTCCGGCAACGATGTGCGGGTGGTCTCGGGCTCAGGCTGCTCAGGGCTGGCGTTCGGGCTGGCGTTCGGGCTCCGGGTTTCTGCACAATGCAGGTCCTAAACCATTTGCAGATGATGAAAGCCGCACGCGCAGCCACTCCGAGGCCTGTGCGACTGCAAAGCGCTGTAGATATCAGCATGCTCAGCACCCCCCCCCCCGCAGCCGTGGCACTGCTCTGCATGGAGCTTACCTGCACACAACACCTGTATCCCGCTCTCGCCTCCGTGCTGTAATACCCCGTTCCGGACTTCAGGGTCATGAAGTAGAGCCGTAATTCCGATGTACCCACGGTGTCAGATCCGAGGTAGGCATGAGATTTGTCAGCTGTGAGTGCACGTGCATGGAACTGAGCACTGCCGCAGGGACTTGGGCTCTGCAGACAAAAGAGCCGAGTGGCTGCTTTGCTTTAGGTAGGCTCGTTCGGAAGCCACCTTCGTTGACTAGGCTCCGGCCGTTACATGGCAGCGGAGCGACTGGCTCCTGCCTCGTTGCGGTGCTGCTGACCCAGGCGCTGAGCGGCCGAGGTCCTCTTTCCCTACAACACGTTGCTGGACCACCTCGGCTACACGATTCGGCGCGAGCTCTTGGCTTACGAGGCCAGTGCTCTTTCACATTTCTCCTTGTGGCGCAGCTGTTCCTTCGAGACCTTGGCTGTGGCCCTTTTACTTTTCGTGTTCGCTGTTTGCTTCTGCCTGGAACCTACGACAAGCTTCTGCCCGAGACCTACTACAAGCTTCTGCCCGAGACCTACTACAAGCTTCTGCCCTAGACCTACTACAGGCTTCTGCTTGAGACCTACTACAAGCTCGGTGGTTTTGCCTCTCAGGTCAGGACCGCTGGGGTGTTCGAGCAGACATGTCTAGCCAAGGTTTCAGCACAGAGGCACCCTCTTGGGATGGCAACCCTCAGACCTATGACTCGTTTGAGACTGCTTGCAAGTGGTATGCCATGACTTTAAAGGATTCTGATCGCAAGGGCGCGGCGGCTCGTGTTTGGAGCAAGCTGCAGGGACCAGCCAGGTCTGTGGTGAAGCATTTGCAGCCGCAGGATTTCTTTCATGATGGCGGCTTGGACCAGCTTCTTGATATTCTCCGAGGCTCTCCGTTGCAGACCTTGCCGATCCCAGACACGTTCTCGAAACTGGAGCGTTGGTCGAGCCTGCGCCGGAGGGAGAACGAGACTGTGGCCGAGCTTCTGGTTCGGGAGGATGACATGTTCCGTGAGTTGATGCAGTCCCTGGCGAGATCGCGCCAGCGGGCTGGGGCCACTCAACCGGTGAAGCCTCCTGGCCTTTATCCCGCTGCGGGTTTGTCACCGAAGGCGCCTACGACCCCGAAGGCGGAGACCGCAGCTGAGGAGGACGACTTCGGGGACCTTCCTGATTTTCAGGCTTCCCCTAAGGCCAAGGCGAAAGCAAGGTCACCCGAGAAGCATGAGGAGCCGAGCCAGAAGGAGCCGAGCGAGATGGCGACGGCACCCGCGGATTACTTCAGCGACGAACTGCGGGGATACCGACTCCCCAAGTCGGTGGGCATCTCGCAAGCAGAGCGTCAACAGATCCTCACCTTGACGGGCAACCGGGTGAACTTTGAAGAGGTGCGCCAGGCCTTGCGCGGCCTCTTTGACAGCGGGGCCGAGGCGCATCAGCGACACCGTCCTCGGCGAGCATGGTGGCACACGGCCGAGGGCAGCGACATCAACTACCAGGACCCCGCGGATGAGGATTATGACATGTACCCGGGCTATGAAGACGAGTCAGCGTATTGGGGCACCGCTGGAGGTTGGGACGATCCAGGGGGGCAATATGAGTATGATGCGCACGGCGACTTTGGCGACTACGGCGACTTTGGGGACCATTGGACCTACCACCAGGAGGAGACCTACGGGGGCTATGATGATGGTGCCGTGGCCGGTGACCTTGGTTACGACGACGCGGCCGTGACCGAGGAGGAGACCGACCTGGTGAAGCAGGAGGCCGATGCTGCACTGTTGGCGGCCGAAGCGACAAGGACCCTGGCTGAGGCCCGGGACGCAGTTGCCAAGGTGCGGGCGGCACGTGGATATTACGCCCCGAGCAAGGGCCAGGCTCCGAAGGGCACCGCCAAGGGCAAGGGCAAGGGACAGTCAAAGTGCCTGATTTGTGGTCAGGCCGGGCACTGGTACCGCGATTGCCCTCAACGATTTGGCGGTGGCAAAGGCTTTGGCTCGCCGAGCAGTGGAAAGACTTTTGGCAAGGCGAAGGGCAAGCCAAAAGGAAAGAAGGGCGACTACCGGCCTCGCGTGCACTACTTCGGCACCTATGTCCTGGAGACGGTTGGGGTTCTGCACACCGAGGAGGCCGCGGACTTTGGATCGAATGAGGCGCCGCAGTTCATCCTGGACACCGGCGCCACGGAGTGTGCAGCCGGAGTGGAGACGATTCAAAAGCTGATTGCCAAAGCGAAGCTGAAGTACACCATCGACTTGAACGACAGGCCCACCTTCCGGTTTGGGGATGGGCTGACGTTGCGGGCTTCTTCCCGGGTGGACTTTGAAAACACAAGCTTGGGCGGCATCAGCTTTTATGTCCTTGATGGTGACTTTCGTGTGGCGACCCACCGGGCCGAGAAAACACCACTGCTGGTCGGCTCGCGGTTCTTGCGAGCTCGTGGCGCCACTTTGGCCTACAAGGACCTTAGCCTGTACTTCCAGGACACCACGGGCGACCTCAAGATGACCAACATGGCTTTTACGAGCACCGGGCACCTGGCTGTTGACCCTGTGGCCCGACCTGTGCACCTCGCGGCACTTAGGTCGCTGACCGAGGAGAAGTACCAGATTACCTTGCCGGGCGACGGGGCCCGACTTGTTGATATTCTTTCTTCTCCCGGGGCTCTTGAGGAGCTTCGCCGCGGACAGGGCATGGCAGAGACCATTGCACGTGAGGGTTGGCAGCGAACAAAGGTGCGTAGCAGGTCAAGTTCTTGTTTGTCGTCTCGCTCTCGCACAAGGTCCCCCCGAACCCCTTCGGCAACACCCTTGAGGGAGAGAGAGTTCGGGGCAAAGTCGTCTAGTTACATGTTTGAGGTCGAGAATCAACTTCGTCAGAAATGCTGTCACGAGCATGCCCAGACCTTCGGCACGAACCCCACCAATGAGATCTTGGATGAGAGTGTGCGGTTCAGCTTGAAGCAGCCTAGGCCCGAGGACCTCGTAACCATGTTCGACATGATCTCTGGGCCTTTGGGCATGCCGTTAAATGAGGATAGTGAGCTCGAGTTTGTGAAGCGCTTTTACCACATGTTTTCTTCTTCCCGTCGGCCTCGTTCGTTGCAGAAGCCTTCGAGATTGCAAGGGTTAAGCGTGCTGAGCCAGATGAGTTCATTGAGGCCCCGACTCCGCAAGCTTGCTGTTGTGATTCGGAACCCGAGCATGTCATGATGATGTCCAGTGGAGCTGTGTGGGCCATTGGTTCCTCGAGGCCGCCTCTAGATCACCGAATCCGAAGCTTGCGGCTGAAGCTGTTGCAACATCAACTTTCGAGACCGGGGACCCATGGCATCGAAGATTCCAGCTCCTGTCGAGGACATCCGGCAGCAGGGCTGGCCATGCAAGGGGGATCATGTTCAGGGCAGCGAGCTGGGAAACCAGCACGGACGATGGACAAATTGCGCTCGCTGTGGGCTGCGCTTGCACTACATCGCGACCAACGGCAAAGGCAAGCATCGCACAGCGGGACCGCAGCCCCACATCCTCAAGAAGGCGATCCAGGAGCTGCAGGTGGAGTACGAGGCCGAGAACATGACGGAGCAGATCATGAAGGGGAAGATCATCGAGATCCAGGGTCGGAAGCTCCAGGCGGGCGAGCACGTGAAGTTCAAGAACACCATGGGGGCCCGCGACAATGGCTATGTGATGGAGGCGATAGCTCCGACGTGCGATGCCCGGCGAGCGATGACCCCGAAGAGCAAGCCGGTCCCGACGCAGAGGCCCGGGCCGGCAGCAGCGAGCACTGGGAATCCCCGCGTGCCGAAGGGCCCCACGGGCTCGAATCCGAGCCAGCTGGAGGAGACTGTGAAGGTGGCGACGGAGATCATCGAGACGAAGGACGCGGAGATTTCCCAGGCGCAAGACCACATCCTCTACCTGGAGGAGCGGCTGGCCAACTTGAAGGAGAAGGTGAAGATCGCGGCCCGCGAAGGCAAGATCACTCCCGTCGATTCCGAGGAGGAATGGGTCGAGACCGCGACGATGGATGCAGAGAGTGCCCAGCCGGGGCACGTGTGAAGGATCGGGAGAGTGGGGCCAGCCGTGGTGTTCGTGACGACTCCATGGCAGACCTCAGTGGGCTTCCCGAGCGCGAGGGCTTCAGCACTACGAACCGGAGGGCTATCGAGCGAAATGGCCGATCCTTCCTCACGACACTCCTTTGTACAGCCTTGACTACCATGGCTATGTGCCAGAATTCAGAATTCATTGAGATTGGTTGTAACAACCTTGGGCCGGCCATCACCAACGAGGGCATCCTCCACCGGGTCGTGGATTACAAGAACGGCTTCAACCTCGACCACCGGAACGGCACAGCGGCGGCGATCGACTTAATCAAGGACACTGGGCCGGCTTTCCTCTGGGTGAGCCTTCCTGGCGAGCGGCTGTGCAAGGTTGAGGGTGAGTGGAGCCCCACGGCTTGGAGGAACTTTGAGCGGCTTCGACGGCGCGATCTCCAGCGCTGTGGTGAGGTCGCCGATGGCGTTGTGCACATGATGGCGGCTGGCGGGCACTTTGCCTGGGAGTGGGACAGAAGGGCCCACCTTGGTTGGAAGAGCAAGGCGATCGACAAGATCAAGGCGGCGGCTCGAGAGTGTGACCGAGATCTTTATGAATGCCACGTGGATGCATGTCACTATGCACGTGGTGGTGGCCAGCCGACCGCGAAGAGCTGGAAAATCCTTACATCCAGCAAGCAGCTCTACCACAAGATGATGAGAAAGAGCTGCCCAGGACACAAGGTTCATGAGGCTGCTGAGCGCTCATCGGCGTCCAAGCGGCTGCCGTACCCCGCGAAGATGTCTGAGGAGATTGCGGGTGCGGTGTCGTGGCAACTTCGAGGCGAGACCGGCCTCCTCAAGGACGACCTCGAGCACTACCTGAGTGAGGACGTTCCGGCGGTGTTGGCTGTACAGCGTAGCGGTAAGTTTCCTCTTGAGAGGCCAACGGGCCGAAAGCTGGATGAGTTCAAGAGCCAGCTTCTGAAGCTTCACAAAGCTTCGGGGCATTCGTCCTTAGATAGTCTTAGTAGGTTGTTAGAGCGCCGTGGAGCGCCGGCTTGGGCTGTGAGTTTGGCGAAAGAAATCAAGTGTCCGGACTGCCTTGAAGAGAAGCGACTGGGACCAGTGCCACCAGGATCCACTGAGAAGCCCCCGGGGCTGTGGGAAATCCTCGGGATGGACGTCTGTGAATACGACTTCCTGAATCCCCAGACCAGTCAGAGGCAGAAGGCCAAATTCTTGATCATGGTTGATCGTGCATCACGGTTTTGCAGCGCGAGACTTCTTCATGTATATTCGGCATCAGAATCGTGGGAACCAACAACTGGCGACATCAAACGAGCATTCATCCGAGGATGGATGTCCTCAAATCCGGCTCCAGTTTGGATACTAGCAGACGCAGCTCCTTACTTTACCTCGAGCGAGTTTGCGGAGTTCGCCGGCCGTTCTGGCATGGGTTTGATGGTGTCACCAGCGGAATCTCACTGGGTGATGGGGATTGAAGAGCGTTGCATACAAACTTTGAAAAGGACCGTGGCTCGATTAGAGAAAGAAGAATTAGGCCTTGAGGTGGAGGACCTGTTTCATTTGGCGGTCCACGGGCACAATGCTCACATACATCATGTGACCGGATATTCGCCCTATCAGTGGGCGAGAGGCTGGGGCGGTGAACACCAACTGCCCGAAGGCGTGGACGCTCGAAAGGCTTTTTCTCGCACTCTGGCGCAGCGCCAGAAAGCAGAAGCGGCCTTTAAGAAGGCTGAGGCGGCTGAACGGTTGTCGCGACTGTCAAATGCCAACCCGCGTCGTGCACAGACTTTTGCAGCAGGGCAGCTCGCTATGCTGTGGAGACAACGCATGAGGCAAGGACGCGGTGGCTGGACAGGCTTCCTGAGGGTCCTTCTTCAGGAAGGAACAACCGTGTGGCTGGCTACCGGCGCGACGCTGGTGAGAGCCAAAACAAACCAGCTTCGTCCGTGTACTGAGCGTGAGCAAGTTGTGAGTTCAGCTAGTGGCATGAGCGTCTTGAAGAACCCTGTTGGTTTGGACACACTTCTTCGTGGATATCAAGGCCGTCATTTTACCGATGCTTCATCTGAAGTGCCAGGCCGAGAGATTGAAGAGGAAGTGGCGCCGGCAGAGGTGAGACGTGAGCCAGAAGTTGGACGGCGACCAGCGGTTCGGGACCGCTGCGACCTCCGTGGAGACGTACTAGTGCGTCTGCACGGGACTCCAAGGCTGACGCTGTTTACTCCTGACAAGGTCCAAGAGTGCCCCGTTCGAGAAAGCCAGCTGACAGGAAGGCGCAAGACGATTGCGCAGCTACCCGGGGGACCACAAGTTATCGAGGACAACTACAAGGAGGAGATCAAGCCGAATCGTGGGTTGCTTGACCGCTGGTGGGGTGAGACGCACTTTGAGTTGAAGCCAAAGGCCAGACCGGCTGCAGAGCAAGGAGGAGTAGCCAAGCAGGCGAGGACCTCAACAGACGAGCCAAAGACTCAAGAGCAGCCGGCTGTTGACCTAGAACCTCTTCCAGAAGTACCTCAAGCGGCGTCGTCGTCTTCTCAAGCAATTCCTCCGACACCTGTGGTGGTTCCTGGAACGCCAGGGCAGCTGGCATCTGGAGTTCCTCTTCCCGAAGGCCTTGAGGAGGAGGCCGCCAGATCGGCGGCGTACGAGAGCTCATCCTCGGGTGAATCCTCATCTGAAGAAGAGCTTCTGCCTGAAGAGCCTCAAGGCGTAGAGCGCAAGCGAAAAGCAGAGGAGGAGTTGAGGCGGGACCGACCGGCTCGGTCCGAAGAGGCAATGGTGGCCTGTGAGATCGACGTCCGGGAGAAGGACTTGAAGCGGCTTGTGGCGAAGCCCAGAAAGGCTACTGTGTGGCTCAGCCAAAAGATGGCTGAAAAGTCGAAGGAAGTTTCTTGGAAGTCCCTGACCTTGAGCGAGAAGAAATTGTTTGATGAAGCGCAAGCCATTGAGTTGAACAATGTTTTGACCAGTTCCGCTGTACGAAGTCTGACGAAAAGTGAGTTGGATGGCGTCGACTACAGCAAGGTGATGTCGATGAGATGGGTGTTAACCTGGAAGGCCACCGGCACTGCTAAGGCAAGACTGGTCGTGCTTGGATATCAAGCCCATAATCTGACAAGCGTACAGACGGCGTCCCCGACACTCAGCAGGACCGGCAGACATGTGTTGATGGCTTGTGCAGCAAACAAACAGTTTATTCTTGAGAGCGGTGATGTGACAAGCGCCTTTTTACAAACCATTGGTGATCTTGAGCATGAAAATCTTCTCGTTTGGGCGCCGGCAGAATTGGCGGCGGCATTTGGCGCGCCTCCAGAAGAGGGCACAGTGCTCAAACTGACGAAGGCATTTTACGGACTCGTGCACGCGCCACGGAAGTGGTTCGAGTCTGTTGTCACCAGTCTTCTTCGTGATGGGTGGAGACAGTCAACAGTGGATAGATGCCTTTTCATGCTTTACGATCCGAAGGATGGCGAGTTGGTTGCTATATCAGGCATGCATGTAGACGATTTCTTGATCGCTGGACGTGCTGGGAATGCTGTCTACGAGCAGGCTAAACAGTCACTGCAGAGGACCTTCCGCTTCGGCAAGTGGGACACAGGGACGTTTGACTTCGCAGGATGCCGTATTCGGCAGAGCGCCGATGGCATTAGAGTTGATCAAGAGGCCTATGTTCATCAGTGGGTTCAAGAGATTCCTGTCTCGAAGGAACGAGCGAACCAGATCAAGGCCCGACTGACACCTGCGGAGATCGGCTCCGTGCGAGCGGCTTTAGGGACGCTGGCATGGAAGGCGTCTCAATCAGCACCTCACCATCAAGCCGAAGTTTCTCTTCTCCTCTCAACAATTCCTTTTGCGACGGTCAAGACGATGCTTGATGTGAACAAGCTGGCCCGTGAAGTACGTCAAGAAGCCTCACAATCGATTTGGTTCCCCTCATGGGGAAGACCATGGAGGGAGATCTCCACAATCGTGTGGGGTGATGCCTCGCAAGGAAACAGACCGAACAAGTCTTCGACGATCGGGTATGTGGCCGGATATTCACCACGCGAGATTTTGGAAGGCTCGGAAGAGAGCGTTGCTCTCATCACCTGGCGGTCCGCGAAAGCCCCACGTGATTCCCTCGGCAGCAATGGAAGCGAAGTGCAAGCGATTACTGCTGGCGAAGATATAGCTTTCCTTTTGAGGACGCTGTGGTTCGAGGTACATGGCGGAATCCTCTCCCGAGGGACAATCGAGCAGCAGATCCGCGAGAATACAGAAGGATGTTTGGTCACAGATTCCCGTGGCATTTATGATGCTATGACAAGAAACATGTCATCATTACATGGTCTTCGTTCGAGCAGAGCAGGCTTCGAGCTGACAGTCGCGGTGCAACAAGCTTTGCGTATCGAGACACGCCTGAGATGGGTGAATGGACTAGCGATGCTAGCCGATGCGATGACCAAGGCTGGCGCAAAGAAGTCCTTCATGCATTTCCTCGTCAATGGTCAGAGATGGAGCATTGTGCACGATGAGAGCTTCACGGCAGGAAAGAAGATCCACAAAGCAACGCTTCGCAAGAAACTCACAGCCCAGCAAGAGTTGTTCGTAGAGTGCCTGCGGAAGTTTTCTCTCGAGAACCAACTTCCTTGGTTCGAAGAGCCTCAGTACCAGGATCATGATCTGGACCTGGTTCCGCTGGCAAATCTCAGGAGTATGTTATCGATGTCAGATCCGAGGTAGGCATGAGATTTGTCAGCTGTGAGTGCACGTGCATGGAACTGAGCACTGCCGCAGGGACTTGGGCTCTGCAGACAAAAGAGCCGAGTGGCTGCTTTGCTTTAGGTAGGCTCGTTCGGAAGCCACCTTCGTTGACTAGGCTCCGGCCGTTACACACGGCGCATGCTCGCGAATGCTTGACATGGTTGCTCATCGGTTGCTCTATCTCTTGTTCTCCTTGATTTCCCGGCTAGTCCGTGTGGCGGCCACCCGGTCTGGGCTTTCCGGCTTCCGAGCTTCCGGTTCTGCCTTCTATGCCTGGCCTTGGCAAGTTCCTCGTCTGGGCCAAACGAGATTCAATGCATTCTCAAGCTTCTCTCGACTCCTTTGTCGCTTGAACCTGCCAGAAAGAGAGTGTGAGCTAGAAGGCTGCTTAAGGGTGTCACACGGCTTTTCTGCGCTGCGAGTGCCCACTTCTGAGTTGCACGTTACAGTTGCTCGATCTTGACGGAGAGCCCGGGTCGACTTGGCAGCCCAGCTGAGCGTGTGGGCAGATCGTGCACTGCTGCAGTGCAAGCGTAGCAGTGCCTGAGTCCATTAAGGCAAGGATCAGGAGGTGATGCTCAGCCCGTTCGACGTGTGCCTTGGGCATGAGATGTCATGAGTTCATGATGGGTTGCTTTGTGGATGTCGCAGTGAGGTGTCGGAAGCTGCTGACGTCGTCGGAGGCCCCTGCCAAGACCATGAGTTGCGTGTGAAGTGGCTGCGCGAGCAGCTGCTGCTGAAGCGAGGCAAATGCACACAGCTTTCAAGCCCGCTTCGAGATGCAGGGGCCCCGGTAGGGAGAGGCGGAGAAGGAAAGGGCGACGCGGAGAGAGGACGGCAGGAGGAGCTCTGTTCGGCCTGCTGTATCCTGCTGTATCTACTGGATGTATGTGTATCTGTATCTACTACATTGTGTATCTTTCGCTGCCATGCTGTACGTGCTGTACCCAGTTGTGCACTACAGCTTCCGTCCCCGTCAAAGGTTCTTTGTGGACCACTCGCTCGTTAGCATGCCTGGTTCCCGGACTCGGAGGAGAGCAGGAACCGGTGTGAGAGCTGGGAAAGCGTCAGTGGCAAGCCTCTGCGTCAGCAGATGTCAGGCTCGTGCACGAGAACTACTTGCGGTCGATTGAGAGACAGCCGGCGATGTCCTCAAAACCGTGAAAACTGTCCTTAAAGACATGGAATCATTGAAGCCTTTGCCAAATGTTTCGAGTTCTCGTCAGGTCAGCTCCGAAGTGCTCAATCGATGTGCATACTCTGCAGATCTCATGACCATCGGTGTGAGCCTCGGTGTCGAGGTGACCTTCGCACGCTTCGCACAGCACTGCGATACACTGTGGCTGTGCGAATGTCCTTGAGGTGATGTGATGAGTCAACGGATGGTGGTTGAGCAGGCGAGAGAAGACCGGGCAAGAACTCCAGGACCGTGCGTTGTTCGGCATCTCAGGAATGGAGTTTCCTGCCGCACTGTGCGGCCCTGTGCTGAGATCAGCCATGAGTCTGGCAGGGATCTCGCAAGAAGTCGGCGAACAGCCTTCGCAGGAGTTCGTGGTACAAGTAAGATTTGAAAAACCGTGTCCGCAGCAGCCTCTTCGTTGAGGCCGTGGCCTGTGCCTACCCGACCTTTGTCACCAGAGGCAGCCTTGTGTGGGGCTCAGCTGCTCAGGCTGTTCCAGCCAGAAGTAAACTCGCCATGGGCTGTGAGGCCTATCCCAGCTTCCCTTCCATCATGGGCAAGATGTCTTCGCAATCCAAGTCCAGGCCGACACCTTTTGGCACTTAGCGAAGTCCCCCCCAACGGTTTGCAGCTTGGGCCAGGCGCCTCATCTCAGAGCTGCAGGCTCCGAGCCTTTTATCGGTTTTCCTAACTTCCGCAGCACCGTCGGTTGACTGTGTGAAAATGCAAGCGATCGCCGGCGCCGTTTTGACTTCCAAAGCTTTCCTTTCAAGAGCAACCATCCTTGCTAGGAGTGTTTGTGGTCACCCCGTGAAGCGGAAGACAGTGCATGCAACTCGTGGAAAAGCACAAAGCTGTCAGCGCGATTCTCGATGTCAATATGGAGAGACGTGCAAACGAATGCTGCCAAAGACGTCGCAGAAGCTCTTCGGCTGCAAAGCATGTTGGTTTCCCACAGACTCGCACATTGCCTGTCGAGTCCGTCCTATTACTGAGGTTTGCACTGGGTGACGGAAAACGAGAGATCTTCTGTGTACGGCTCCTTGCCTTCGGTGTAATGGCAAAGATGTATGGTGAATCGTGCTTCAACCAGACATTCAGCAGTTTCCGCAGCCAAACAGCACAGTCCTCGCCTCCGAAAGAAACTGAATGGTACTCATATGTACTCATGCTACATACAAGGAAACGGGCAAAGCCGTCTGTAACACTAACATGGCGACTTCCCAATTGGCTCGCTCTGACGTAGTCATGCGTGCAGACACTGTTTACTGGAAGACCGTCACTTTGACGCATGCGCATCATAAATCCTGAGCCTCGGCCTTCCAATGTACTGTCCTTGCTAGAGCGAAAGCAGTCTAGGAAACGAAATGAATGCCGCGGACGCAAGACCTCATTATTTTGTCCTGCATAGTTCTTTTGCCACAAGGTTTGCACCGGACGACTTGTACTTGGCCGCCTGTGGGTATTCTGGCAGCAGGCTGCGAGCTTGATTCTACGCACTCCCTAGAGCTGACTCTAGGAATGGCTTTATCCACGTCTACAACACCAGCACCTCCCAGCCTCTCACTTGCACGCAAGCGACTTGTACCTGCTGTTGTCTGATTGTTGTACCTTGTGATCGTGAACTGGTCCAGTGGGGTCTGAAACCCAGATTGGCTTTCAAGCTCTTGGGAGGCAGGTCAGAGGACCTGTGTTGCATCGACGGGATTCATGCTAGAAGCTAGTTGGAGAACGCAGTAGTCCTGTCGCAGGATACTGGATTGCCGGTAACGCAAGTGAGGTGGCGGCCGGAATGCTTTGGACCTTTGGCTGCAAGTCACTGTCTTGTTGACTTGTTCGGTGTGATTGTGGCATCTACATCACTGCCGCAAGGTAGCACGAAGTCCATCCTCGCTTCCTGGCAGCAGTTCCCAATAGTCACACGCTGTTCATGCGCAAGAGGACGACATGTTGGACGAAGGTATCAGTGGGAGCGGATGGGAAGATCACACACTGGCACGCCTTCTCGGGCAAGCAGATGCACGAGAGACTTGCATGCAAAGCACTGTGTGCTGGTGCATGTTTTGATCAGCCGTCCCGTAAATGAAGAACGCCTCAGTGAAGCGTCCTTGGAGTCGGAGCGTACAGCACTCGATAACACAGAGGGGGCTTCCTGTTGGCCGCTGCCTTGTCCATGTTCTCATGCCACTTAAACTGATCAGGGCATTTGCGGATTTTGTGGAAACCTGGCTGTAGCGAGTGCAGTTGGGGGTCGTGTCTACCAGATCCGTGCCGAGTTTCAGTCACTGGGCAGAATGCTATGTCATATTGGGGTCTCTCGGTGGTGAACCTGTCGGCATTGTACCTACCAGGCCTTATTTTTGCTGGAAACAACATCTATGAAGGCAACTCCTTATTGAACACACATCGGCGGCCGCTGGTGATTTAATATGTCGGCTGTCTGAAACATGCTTGGGCTGTGGAGAAACGGACTACGCCGTCCGTCAGTCACGTCCATACGCGATGGGTGTTGTTGGTTTTCGGTTTGGATGGCTGCCAAGAACTTATTAGCCTGGGTGTATTTTATTTCGGATCACAGAAGACTTTATATAATGACCACTTGTGGGACTGTAGCCTCGTGATTGAAATCGGATTGAGACCTGACTGGAAGAGGTCATGTGGAGGTTCTGTCGCGTCCTGAAGCGGGGAACACACTCCAAGGATCGACTAGGACATGGTTTCATGGTGGATGTTGTCCAAAGACATCTACGTAGCCAGAAATCTGTGTGCCGTCTTGACCACAAGTGTGCTTGAAATACCGTGTGAATATGAATCGTTCATTGAAGCGAAGACATTCCGACGACACAGTCCGTGCTGACCATGATTGGCAGCCTTAGTGGCACCTCCCGTGCACCAGGGTGCGATGAGCAGAGAGCCTTCATTGGGTTTGTTTCCTCCTCTACGTTGAGAGAGTGCCGCGTGGGGTATGACTACGTATTGGACTATGTGGGTGTGAGAGATGTGTTTGAATCGTTTGTGTCCCGCAAGCTCAACATCTGTCCGCATGCCTGGCTGTGCCTGCCTGTTGGGACATGTCGTGACATCTGATGCGCTCACCCGGCTAACTTTACCCAAGCCATCCGAAGCCTTTGCAGCGCTTCACAGCTGACCGGCTGTCGGCGACCTGCTTGAGCTTGAGCTGTGAAGGGTTAAACGTCCTTGGTCGACACCCAGGATCGTCGAGCCAGAGAATCAGCTCTTCTGCAACTCAACTGCTTTGTAGCCTTACTCTGTCGGGAGCATCCTTTTTCGGAGAGCCTTGGAGAGGCGTCTCAATTTCAATTGACGTGGAATCGCTTGGGCATGGTTGGGTGAATCAGGCCTCGACTTTCTGTATGATGGCACCCAATTTGCCACTGCGGGTAAACAGCGCCACGTTCGAATTTACGATGAGCTTCTCGGCTTTCCCAGTGCGAGAGGCGCGAGGGACAAACAGCCGAGAGCTGGCTGCGAGGTCCACGAAGAAGCTTGTGCAGCTTATGCGAGGTGCGACTTATGCTTAAGGCCCAGGCCGTGCAGAAAAGGCCAAATCTGGCCGCCCCCCCCGAGAGGTGGAAACGACTCAGAGACTTCCGGCCCGTCGAATCGCGTCTTCTCGCTGAAGTATCATCCTCTTACGCGCCATGTCCATGGCTCGGTTCGGCCGCGTACTCGCAAGACAGGGCAGAAGGCCACAGAGCATCTGAGGAGATTGTAAGTGGAGGTTGGGACAGTTCCGTCCAGATCTGGGATGTGCGCCAAGGACGTGCTGTGCGCGTCTCTTGGCCGCAACTACAGTTAACAACAGCAGTGCACGACACACCCGAGAACAATTGTGCACGTGCGCATGGAAGCTGCGCATCAGTGTGGAAGCAGAACAGCAGGCCATCGCTGGGCCACACATTTGTGGTGAAGCACTGGATATCTCTCAGGACCTGGGACAGACGATGTCGTGCACTGATTGCGCTGGAAGTGAATGCTGCAGGATGGAAGAACCATGCTCACTGGATCCTGGCAGCTTGCTGAAGCAAAAGCACATGACGCCTCAAATTTTGTCCGGATGCCAAGATTTTCAGGCGCATTCACGACCAGCTGCAGCTGTGGGATCTCAGGAGCCTGTTCAGGGGCGGGGACGGGGGACGCCCGAGAGTTCTGGGCAGTGCCAGGATGGAGCGGCTCTTGGCCACCTGGCCACCCTCCAAGAGCACGTCGCGGCCCCAGCGCTGCGCTGCTGGAAGCATGCGGAAGCTCTCGGGGACTTTACCGAGCTTTCCCTTTTGATAAACTCAGCGAAGACGAGGTTCAGTACAAGGTGGATCAACGGGGTCTAGGAGGGAACCCAAAAGCGCGGGTCAGTTTCCGGGCCTGCCGACTGAACCCCGGAGCCTGGAGCTGGGATCGGGAGGCCATGCCGGGTCGGTTGGAGTTCAAGTTTAGGAGCGAAGCGGGTGCATCTCATGCGCTCGGCTGCATCCAACAGCGAGCCCACAGTCACCACCATCACGAGAGTATTGCGCCTGCCACGACACCTCGCAGAACCTATAAAGGACGTTACATGCGCCCGCGAAACAACCCCAAGCACATTCTGAGGCCTTGCATGATCTATGCCGCACAGTTCAGCAAGGACTGCAACCCGCCTGTTGCTTCGGAACAGGACGTTCGGACATGGGGCGAAGCTGCAAGACTTGTTTGAGAAAGTTCAGGATGAATCTTCTGGCATGGTCGCAGCTGGTGGCAGTGGCGATCACGAGGTCAAGGCCAGACTTCTCCCCGGGCGCAGATCGCTTCAGGCAGCGGAAGTCCAGTTCCCAGTGATCTTCGACAGGTATTTCAGCGTATGGGAAGTGAAGCGGCATCAGCGGAGGCAGTGTCTTGTCAATACGCTTGGCTTCTGTTCTGCGGAAGAGCTTGATGACCTTTGCTGCTACGTGTGAACGGACCGAGGAACCTTTCGGCAGGATTTCCAGCTTCACACAGGCTTGCTACTCCGTCGACTTCGCGAACGTGTGGAGCTGAAGCTGTCGTTTCGAGTTGTGGGCGTTTTAGACACTTCCTCGACTGTGCACATGCCCACTCCATCTTGCTACTGGGGTGCTCGACAAGGCTGTAGTCCCCCCGGAGCCAGAGTCGTCTTTTCTCATGACGTTTCGTCCGCTCGCTGCCGTTCTTTCTAAAAATCATGTCGAATCGCCGAAGATGTCTGAAGCCCATCGTGCCATCCATGGCCTCGACAAGACGCGGTCGCTCCGGTCTTGACCAGGGGCCTCGCAAACCCTGCCGTTTCACTTCTGTGCGGTGCTTCGTTTTTTGTTTCGCCGGGCGGGCTCCGAAGTGCGTCTAACCCTCACACGGGGCCACAGAGCCGAGCAGAGAGGCCACCCCTGTGCCTTCGGCGTTGGGGTCCTGTGTGCGCGTGTGCGTGGACAGTAGTTCAGTTTGGTAGTCTTTTCTGTGCTTATCTGGGTCTTTTTTTGATTATTCTGGCCATTTCTCTGTTTGTCTGTACCGGAAAGGAGGAAGGAAGATGTATATGAAGAGGAACATTGCAGCCCCAGCAGGGGAAGCGCAGATCAAACGACCAGAATCAACACGAAAAACGACGCAGATCAACATAATGCAAAAGACCCAGGCCAACAGAACAAAATACCAACATGACTTTCGCTCCGTGTGATATCGTGTGGCCGTGTGGTGGGACCAGGACTGGGTTGAAGGCAGCGGATTTGCATGTCAAGGTCGCTTCCCGCGAGGAAAGCAACTTGAGAAGTTCGAGGGTCTTTGCGACGCAGCTTCTGAGGCCGGAGACATGCTGGCCGCTGCAGGAGGTGATGGAGTCATTCAAGTCATCAACATCCACACTCAGAGCTCGCACGCGTTGCCATAAGAGTGCCGAAAACCGTCACAAGCTGCAAATCCTGCAGCATGTGGCTCGGGAGGCGCCCGTCGGTCAGCGTTGCAGAAAAAGTTTCCTCCGAGCTTGGTTCTGAAGCGGAATCATTCATGAGTGCGAAAGTCTGATGATGTGCCAAATGTCTTTGTATGTCCCTGCCAGACGCACATCCGCTTGGCTGGGACTGCCGATCGCAAGGCTCCACTTTGAAAGAATTGGATGGGTATCGTGTTGCATGCCAAAAGACTTCCACGTGACAGGCTTTGGTAACATCTTCCTACATGGATTTGATGTACAAGCCAGGGTCTTACACAGTTCTGGCCGGGCCTTTATCATGTGCAGACCAGTGCTTGCTGGGTTTTCAAGTTTTGTGAGTGGTTCGTCTTGGGCATCAAAAAGTTTGCAGTGGTGTCTGTGAACCGTTCCTAGACCGCTCGTGGGTCTACTCGGCCGGCATAGTTGTGTTTCCTTCGTTTTGACTCCGCGTCTCTTAGTGGCCATACATGGCCATAGTGTAGATGGAAGAGGCTGGCAGCATCCTGGCAGGCGATTGGTTCAGCCGCTGCAGAGAGCAGAGCTTCAGAGCGTGGCGATGGCCTCAGGTCTCAGGGAGCCAGTAGTGCAGGACGTGAGACATCAAGTATGGCAGGCAGCAAGATGCCTGTAGGTGTCGCTCCTGGATGCATATGGCCTCCGAAAAGAGCACATGGTGGAGCAACCCTGCCCGGATTCTCCGGCCGTCTGACGGGCATAAGATTAGACCACGGGTTAGAGATGCGATGCATCTGCCAGGCATCTCACCGAGCTGCGACAACCTCTGGGCTGCCAGGAGCCGTTCCAAGTGCCCGGAGGTCCAGGGTAGAAGCCGTTTCTACTGCCCCGAGGACCTCTTCAAGCAAGTGGATGCCAAGGTGGAGCTCCTACCAGTAGCCTGCACATCCTGCACCTGCCTGGCACCTGCCATGCGGAGACGTTTGGAGGTCAAGGCTGCTCTGACTCGGGAGCTGAACTCTGGGCGCCATGCTGTCAGGGTGCGGCCGCCTTCTTTGGAGTGTGCACTCGCTGTCGCAGTGACTCTGGTTTCTGCGAGCTTCTCCTGCCTACTTGTATCGATGTTGCGCCATTCAGGTTGCTTGCACACGCGTAAGTAGCAGCCCCGGAGATGTGACGAAGCATCTGGACGTCGTGGTGGCTCAATGGCTAGAGAGTCGCCGTCGAATATCCGGCCATGTCATGTGCCTCGGCCGGATACAGAGCACCAGGCTTGCGACTGGGAAAAATGTGGGGCCCCTGCTTTGAGGTGCCAAGGCTGGCCAGGTTCCCATGTTGCCGAAGGACGGCCTGCCCTCTGCCGAGTGTAGTCCATTTCGTGCTTGTTGAGACCCTGTGCCCTGGATGTTTCGGAGCTTGATTCTCCGTGTAATGCCCTCATGAAGTAGTTGGTTCTTGATTTGGAGGAACGTCGCCGGCGAGGTGTTAGCCTTGTTAGCACACTCGGTGCATGAAGCTGAGCTTCCCTGCCGTCGAACTTGAGTTTTTGCATGCAGCGGACTCCTTATCTTTGCTTCTCCCAAGGCAGCTGCTGTCACTGTTTTTGTAGGACTGTGTTGCCAGAAGCTTACGCGTGCAAAGGTGCTTCCATCTTGTGCGACTTGCATCATCTTCATTTGAGCTTAGCTTCCAGGCTCCTCTCTGACCGATGTGGACATTTCAGAGCTGGAGGCCAGTTCTTGGAGTGTGCAGGTGCGGACGAAGGTGAGGATGGCACATCGTTTGTTCAGTCTTACGGGGAGCACACCCTGGTGCTGCTGCGGCACGGCGAGTTGGCACCCCGTTCTCTGACATTCAAGAGCATGCTCTTTCTGGGTCCCGTATCGAGGTCTGAATGGAACCTGCAGAACCGCTTCACAGGCTAGTGCAGCTTTGCTTTGCTCAAGACACTGCTGCAACTTAACTGTCAGATGAGTCAGATGGTTGTGTCGCACCCGTGATAAGTTCGTTCTCGTCGGGTGGGATGGCCTATGTGCGAAACTGGCGTGGCAGGTTGGGTTGATGTGGATGTGTCCGCCAAGGGTGCGGAGGAGGCCAGTAATGCAGGCAAACTGCTGCATGCGGCCAATGTCAGCCCCTGGCTCAGTTGAGTGGATTTCACAACGTGCCGCTTAGAGAACACATCCTCCAGGTGTAGATGTGGCCTTCACGTCGTACCAGAAAAGAGCGATCAAGACGCTAAACTTAGCCCTGGAGGACCTTCGTTGCAACAGGAGGAGAAACAGCTCTTGGACTGTTTGCTGCGGCCATGAGGAGATGGACTGCTTGTGGATTCCTGTCGTCAAGACCTGGAAGCTGAACGAGCGGATGTGCGCCTTGTTGCTGGCGACCGTGCTGCAGGCATAAGCGGGATTGGGAAGTTGTTGCCCCTCAGGTACGGTGATCTACAGGGCCTGAACAAGGCCGAAACAGCCAAGAAGTTTGGCGAGGAACAGGCTTGAGTTGCTGCCGTTATGTGAGTGTGTGGGGTTTGCATGGGTTTGCGAGGGCGGGGGCTTCCGGATGTGTGTGTTCAACGGATAGGGCAACGCTGCATGGTTTTGCTTTTGGTACCATTCTCTCTTCTGTTCCTATAAGGGTTTCTCCTCTCCCCTGCGATTCCGGTCCTGCCTGGCAGTCTTCGCTCAGTGTTGTTCTTTGCTTCAGGCTTGCATCAATTGATAGATACAGTAGGGCTTGGATACATTGACACATGTCCGCAAGGAGAGGACTAAACTCGTAATCCAGCATCATCCAGCAGATAGAGGCTAAACCAACACCGAACTACGCGGCGAAACCGACCAAAGGAAACGGAGCCTGGTTTGATGTCGAGTTCGATCGAGGCAACCACAGGACCATGCAGACACAACCAAGGGAAAGCTAGACAGAAACATCTATCTATACACAACAGCAACCCTATCGAATATGACAGGGCCGGTCGCTTCGATGTGTGTGGCATCCATCCCACGTTGTTGGTGTGAAATCTCAGACTTAGCTGTGT